TTAATAGACCACCACAGACGGGGCCCTATAGGGCTGATGTTCAGCCGGGGTTACAGGGTAAGCGCAATGAGGCACCGCGACCTCGGCCCGGAGCAGGAGAAGGATCGGGGAGTTTTTAGTCAGTACGAGTCTGACACACCCTCCCTCCTTAATCTGGGCGAGAGAAGTCATGATTATTTTACCCTGACAAAAACAAAAAAAGGGTAGTCGATTATTGGATCTAGTATCTACGTGAAGGTTGCCTTGACCGGCGTTATAGCACGACCTCGCAGAAAACTGACGACCACAGCGGTTGTTTTAGCCGTGTTGATGAGGCTACTGGTGGTCCAATCCTATCCCTCCCTTATACCCAAATCTCCGAAATCCTCATCCCCAAAAGGCCGGCAATAAACTCGTACTTAACTCCTCTGGTGTAATGGGTGTCCATCGGTTGCTGCTTATGATTAAAGTAATCCGTCTGCTCGTTTGCAAACCTATATAAAAGATCAAATTTCTCTAATTTATTTTTGATATCACACCTAACATTTTGAACGTCATTTTAATAGTAATAATTTTGTTTCTTATTCATGTCCAACGATAAAAAACGAGTGCGAGTAAAAAAATCTGCAAAATGAAAACAAGTAAAAAGCACATCTAAGTCTATATAGGTATATATGTATGTATCTATACCTCATGAATGTAATTCTATTAACAAGGAAAACATTTTACACGAATATCACACACAACCCGCCCATAGCGTTAGATTACTCCCCATATAAACACAGGTCACGTATTGAACATTCACTGTGACCGAACAGGGTCACATATAAAATAATAATATCATTCGTTATACTGTATTGCAAAACGATCCGTCTGTCCGTACGTGTTAAGGAATTATTATATATCATAGATTGGATATAAATAGAATTTACTATGTGTTGCAGTATATATTTCATTAGAAAGGTTGCCTCTTATGAGTTAGAGGAACTGGGAATAAATGGTAAGGGTCGGAATGAGTGAGCGCACGAAATGAGTGTCAAGTTTTGTTCTGTCGCTGTACACTGTGAACTAGTTTAGCGGAGTCGTGAAGGTACACTCGTATCTACTTAATTTTTTCACATATTAAACCCAGTTTTAGTTCGTGTACACATTCCCTTTAAGCCTTTTTCGTTTCACGTAGTAAATTATATAGAGCGACGGAGTTAGATAAACGTGGCAAGAGATTATCACGTATCAAATATTTTTTTTTACTTGAACATTATTTATGTATTTTTGTAGATAGGTATTCGATCGGTATAAGGTGCCAAAGTTTATATCAGATTAAAAAAAAATGTATTCTATAGATATGTTCTATCCAAAATACTAAAGAGTATGATTAATAAAACTCCGGGACAAAGCTAACATAGTACGAATTTCTTATACTCAAAACTGTTTGTTTTATACACTTTCGATCTGAGACCATAATATATCATTTTATTTGTTCATAAAACTAAAGCAAAGTATAACTGAGAAAATTTATTTTTCAGATGATATAATGGAATACTTTTAAACGGTTTGAAAAATTACGACTTTGAAACGTTCACCGCTGACCCAGCATAACCTTTGTTCAAGGCGGTATATTACCAAACTTTTACTTAAAGTATTCATAATTTGCGGGATTAAAAGCTTAGTTCAGACAAATGAAATGGTTTCGCTTACGGTGAAACTCGAAATGACAGACACGAAACGCCTCGAGGCACAGTAAGTCTTAATACAATGACAATAAAACATGGTGGACGTTTTTCACGCTAAAGATTTTCCCTGTCTACGCGGCAACGACCATTTGTTATAATTTCCTGACTAAATACGCCCCAGCATGAACATAAAAAAACATTCTTGTGTAAATTATGACAAATTATTATGTTCGCGACATAAAAAGTGAAGTAATTATGGTGTTTTGAAAGAAACTAAATGCATATTGTGGTGTAAATTTTCTATAGATTCCTTTTTTGAAAGAAATATAATACATAGTCTTCAAAATATCCCTCATATTTGTGTATCTTTTTTAACAATATGTGATCTTCAACCTTCAGTAGTTTCCCCTCGAACTATAATCAAAGTTCTGAGCACTCGTATGCAACTAACGACGTAATCTTCAAGCCATAAAGGCAGACGTCTGTTGTTATCACGTCTCTAGTCACGGACAGAATGTAAACTGTCTATTACATCGGAAAGCTCTTAAAATGATCTCGCACTAAGGAAATTTTGTATTTTTATATTTCTATGAGAGGTTTCAATATCATTTTAATTTTGTTATCTTTATCATGGAAAAGTTTGACGAGGCCATTGCTTATTTTGTTTTTTTTTTCTTGCTCAACAAAATTCGTGAAAATAATTTTGTTGCCAGCCATAAATGGTGTTTCTTTTTTTTGGGTACTAAAAATCAAATGCCTTTTTTCATCATGGGTTAGGCAAGACAGAGACATGTCAGTCTCTTACTTACTGAATACCATTCCGTTCCTTCTCTGCAAGTTCCTCTCGCTCCACGCCATGGCCTTGTTTTGAATGGCCAGTAGCTGACTGATGCTGTTTATTACAATGTTTCTATCAAATACACACAGTAATTATAAAACTACTAATAGCTTTTTTTGTTCAAGTCATGTTTTAAGTAAATATAATCAAGCTCGAGTCTTTAAGGCCGAGAAACGGAAAAAACTTCCAGGGCACGACAGAAAAGAATTTAAACGTATTTATACGAGTCAATACACCGCTTCAGTTATATATATTTTTCTCTGACACAATTGAGAGAAACAACTACTACATATTTTATTTTCAACTCTCATACTTTAACAAGCGAAATATTTTCCTTTGTTCATTAATTTTACAGAAATCTTAGCGCTATTGGCAGTGAAACCAAGCCTTTTCGTTGTACTATGAGCATCGGTGTAATTACAGACACATGAGACATTTCAGCTTAGGAATGGCAGATCTCCTGTGATTACACGGCACCGGCACCCACATTTGTGTAATTACGAACTCTTGAAATGAAATGTCTGCTTTATCTCAGAGATGGTATCTGGTGTCATAGCCGTAAATGATGACGATCACTTACCATCAGTGTCACCCGTTTATTTTTCAACTAATTACTAAAACTGTTATTTAGGACAAACTGTGTCCTTTATAAGTAAGAAGTGAGGCAAAATTTGATAAATACTACAAAACCTTCATTTGTTGTGGGGGCAAAATCCTGAAATTACTTTTCTCTCTGAGTGGGGTTAGAGGGAGTGTCAGACTTTTACTACTTAAAAGCCACTCCGTTCCTTGTCCAGCTCTAGACCGAGCCTGTGGTACATTAATATGCTTGATCCGCTACCTGCTGCACTGTTGGGACCCATATCTGGTGGTCTATTGGCTGTTTGAGTCACGCGCGAAGCGTTACGCGCCTTTCACCACCAAAGCTTTAATGTGCATTGGTTAAGCATTACGTACGTAAAAATGGTTGTGTGATATTTAGATAATTGTTTGGGAATCCAATTATCATGAAGCCGTTACTTTAAAATAGGCAGTCTAGGAACTTTTATTTCATAATGGAGGCCCGTCCCCAACTAGAACAAAATTAACAGCGGAAATTATGATTGAAGTAGAAATTATAACAGGTCCTATCTCTGAATTGACAGTACCCTTTTTCAAGTAATTAAATTAAACCCAAGCTAGTAGTTTACACAATCACATGGTCACACAACTGTGATACAAATATAATGTTGACAGGTCCTTGAGATAAGCCACGGTGTAAAGTCCCGGACATCTCTGCGTTTACTGTCGCTTAGGCGTCCGCTTTAAGCTGTAAACCCGTAGTCCGGCAATAAAAATTGCCGTAAACTAAGAATATCATAGATAGACTAGTTTAGTTTTAGGGTCGTAAATCGTTGGGTCTTCTGGACTATGGTAATTTTGATTTCCATTTTGAATATTTTTGAATTAATATTTTTGTCTTATTATTTTTTTGTCCTATGATTATCAAAATTTTTGTTTCAAGGTCAACTTGGGCTTTAATCATCTTTTTACATATGTAATGTCAATCACATCTTTATCAAATACCAACTGACTAATATAATTATGCATTTTTTTTCTTTCACTAGCAAGACGTAATTTTATTTTTAGCTTCCTTTTATTTGTACCAAGGTTGTTTTTTATTACGGGAACATCCAATTTTGTTTTTCGGTACCTACTGATGTGTTTCCGAACATTTTGTTTTCTTTTAATTCTTTGATGAAATGAAACGCAAAGTTATATAAACAATTTATTTCCTTTCTCTTTGCTGATTTAACATTTAAGTAGACATCAACAATGTTTTTAATCATTACTTTATTATGTATAGAAGAAATGTATTGTGCGATCTGAATAACTTTAAGAATTTCCCTTCAAACAGTCTTATTATTATTTATATACAGAGAATAAATTCACATTGGGTATCAGTGAAATGTTCATACAAGAAGTCACAAAGAAATACAGTAGATAGTTTAACTAATTATAAGATATTAAAATTAGAAATACACAAAAACTCTTTTATAATTATTAATGTAGTTATGTATAATTGCATAATTCTCCAATTGGACTATTACAAAAAATACAAAACTTCCTTTACCTGCTTTTATACTAAAACTTTAACACTCTGTATCTATTCATACGTAGTATAAATATTTACGTAATATAGTATACTATCATTCTGGGAAAATTATTTACACACACATCCGTGTCTCTCAAAGAGGTAGATTGAGACACGACGTTCTAATTCTAAAATCTTGGCACATTCGTATTCAAAGTCCATTCACATGCACACCCTATTGAATCAATTACAGAAATCAGACCCGAAGCTACTGGTCCACATGTACTTAAAACTAATATTTCTCTTCTAAACCATCAAACAACTAAGGATGTCTTTTATCTGACAACATACACTTTTGCTTACAATAGTGTCTATGTTCCGGGGATAAATCCAAATGAACAACATTTACGGCTTTATCAAATGTTACCCTCGGAAGTCATCGAGTCAACGTCACTTCAGTATCACTCGAGCTCCTGGAGCTCTCTTTGATGACGTCTAGTTCCCTATTAGACACTGATGAATTACGCGAGAACTTATGAGCACTATATTCACTTTTTTCATCATGAATGTCATGAGCACAACCGTTTCCATAGTCTTTGATTTCATCGGAATCGTCTTCCACTATATCGTTCACTTCCACTTCCAACAAATTATCATTTTCTTTTAGTCCGTAAGCGTTAAAGCTTCTCTCATGACTTAAACTGCGTATCCTATCGAGATTATGTTCTAAATGTTGCATATCGTCGTCAACACCAGGTGAGTCATCAAATTTCCACTTAATATTTGAATTAAAATGCTCCACTCCAGGATACATACCTATACTATTACTTCTATGCCCGAAAACCGGACAGTTTCGGAACTCTCACAATTCCGGATGCCTACCATTACAAGTCTTGTTGAAGTTGCCTTCATCTAAGCTTAAGTTGGAACGAGAGCGGCCACACTCCAAGCCAGGGCTTGGTCTGAATAAACACATGTCCGAGTTTTTCAATCTGCATTGACGTGAACAAGATTCAATTTGAAAAGCTGATCTGTCGAGCTGTCTGTAATCTGTAGGGCCATAGCCATCAAAGAATCTAGGGTCTTGTTTACAAGCACTACTTGAGCAGCCTTTGAAAGAACCGGAACATCGGAGTGGATCTCGATGGCAAGCTTTTTGTATAGCATGCAGTGAAGACGATGACACAGTGCGTTCTAATATCTCGCCCCAATATTTTTCACCGAGTCCTTCAAATTCTCCTTTTGAATGTAGTCCGTCAGATGTAACGGGTGAACCACAACATCCCGTTGTAGGTTTCTCGTAGCTTGGGAAAGATTTTGGTCTACGGCAGCATACCTGCGTATATAATACATCACGTTAATTGCAAATAAATTAAACAATAAAATTAATACATTAGTAAACGCTAAATACGTACATAATATTGTAGCAGTTCATGACTTATCCTCCTAAAGTGACTGTTCAACAGCCAGTATAGAAAAGGATTCCAAAAACTATTACTCAAGGCTAACCATGTCACTATGAAATCCAATGAAGGCGGGACCTGTTAGGAACAAATACACATCATTAGTTTTATATTTCACACTATTTCTATTTATAGATATTATCTTTTTTTTAAACAGCGTATATATTTTCTAACTCAACAAAACAAAACAGTATCAAATAAGAGTTCAATTGCACTGTTTATCCTCGTAATCACCGAAAGGCTTTCATTATTATTCAGTTGAGAAAGAATTAAGATTTCGGTTCTAAAGCCCTTTCCCTCGGTTTATAAAAAAAAACCCAAGACACTGTTTAGTAATTGCCACGTTTAGAAAAGAATTGTGTTAGACCCTTTGCCATTTGTACAGAAATTTATGTTGGGACGATGTTTTTCCGGTGATGGTAACAACATAACAGCGTCACGCATTTTATACTTCAAATAGAACGATACAATTGGGCAGATTACTTACATATCTAACGTAATTTCCTGTATACCATTTTGGTAAGATATTTTCAGAGTCTGTTCAGTGCTAACTTAAAATTACATCGAACCCATATTATGCCCGGTTTTCAAATTGCCTGAACTCAAAACTTTGTGCTAGACATTCAAATTCGGCCAAAAAAGTTCTTAATGAAAGTAAATCATCAATTTCATTTTCCCCTTCCCTAATCCCTCCCCAGTTCCTAAATCTCCAAATCCCTAATCCCTAAAAGGTCGGCAACGCACTCGTAACTCCTCCATTGCGGGTGTCCATGGGCGGTGCTGATTGCTTACCATCAGGTAATCCGTCCGCTCGTTTGCCGACCTATTACATAAAAAAAAACATATATGACAAAGTTAAAATCCATACCTTGCAGCCGGTACAAGCCGCAACCACTTCCTGTATAGTAGCCGGAGTGACCATAACGATGAAACCTAATGACATTGCTGCCATCGTTCGTGATGTGCTCACGCTGTGTGGTCTCACTGGCGCTTGAATCTGTGACAGAGTAAATAATATCATCATACTTAATTTTGTATCTAAAATGACCGCTACCTTTACTAATACGAATCTATGAACTGGCATCTTATAACAATGAAAAAATATTATTTATAACACATAATCTTTCAGACTTGAATGATAAATGCTCATTGATTGAATCAAATGATTGTGTCTAATAAATAAAATACAAATTTAAACCTAGCAACTTAATTTTGAAAATGTCTAAATGGAAAAGTAATTTGATCTGAGTAATTGAATCCAAAATTAACATTAAAACAACGTCAATTCTTGTTAATTCGCAGTAAAATTATCTCAACTCAAGCGTCAAGAATGTTCTCGAAATCTCTCCATTAGCGAACTAAATTCACTTCAAAGAAAACTAGTCCAATCAATCTAACGATTTGTAAGACAGAGTCGTATTTCTAGAACAATAATGCTTATTGTTGTGAATCTAATAAAATCTAAGTAACGCGGCACTTTAATCTATTAAATGAGGATGTCAGTAGTACTGAAACGAAATTACAATATATCACAACTGAAGAGCCTAAACACATTGCTAAAGAAGTTTTGAAAAAAAAGATTTCGAGATGAAACACACAAGATAATATTATTCCGTTTGATACAATTACTTCGTGAGCGAAATTTTATTTATCATTTTGATTTATGAAAGTAACTTTATCTGTGTAATGAATGCTTATTGTATTTTATATTACATCTAAGGTTGGAAATATATGGCGGGTTGGCAAAACAAGTTAAACTCGTAAATTATAAATATGTGCTACGTGACCTTTTTAAGGAAACAAACATTTTTGTGTAATCGTTACCGAAATTTATATGAATTATATTGGATTACATGATCTGATATCATGACGTTATTGGAATAAATAGCAAAAACAGTTTGAGGTTGAGGTTTGATCTCAACAAAAAGATAATTTCAGTACTGGCTCCACCCAACTACGTCGAAATATCACCATGTATTTAAATCAAATCACATAATGGATGCTATGACGGTGATTATGTTAAAACTAAACAGCATATTTGGCAATAGCAGTTTTAGCTCCTCTAAAACCGTTCTTCAGTGCCCCCGACGCGTATGTGCGTGCGAGGAAACGCACATACGCGTCGGGAGCACTGAATGTGTTAAAACCCCTTATCTAATGATTCTACTTAACTAGAAATGAAACGACTAGACTATTAAACAAAGATATCAAAGGCCTTAGCATGAGGTAATGCCACATTTTACCAGTCATATAAATAATTTCATTATAACAATCTTTAGAGCAGTGAAAAGATACAATGTCATTTTGTTTTACACCAGGGTCATTGTGGCACTTGTGATCTTTTGTCCAGCCTTCGCTCAATCAAACACGACCTCTATATAAATAATAATAAGTGCTATAATTCTGCAAACTCTATTTATTATTCTCAAGTTCATCTTACCACAACTTCATGTTCTCCATGTGATGTCTTCGCACAAGGCACTGGCACTCCATTGGGCCTCAAAGGTTCGGGGTCACATTTTCCTCTAGTTTTACTGACATGGAACCCTGAACCATAGCAATACATGAGAGCCATGGTCGTCGGAAAATAGTAGGCACAGCATGATAAAATCCTAAAACAATAAAACAGAATAAAACACACTATTTAATAAAACATATTGAAAAAAATATATCATAAGAAAAGAGAATGTTGGATTGTATTTTATTTGAATACAATTTTTACATGTAAAAATTAAATAAGAAACTGGAATATTTGTGTTCTTTTTAGTTTTCAGAAAAAATAATAAAGAATTGAATGTTTCTGACCAGAAAATTGTGCTTAGCAACTATAAGAGAATATATTAATCAAATAGTATTCTCATATTCAATAGATATAAAATAAAGAAAAAAATCTAATTGACAGAATTAATCGATTCTAACAAACGTACCTAAAAGCCACTCTGCTATGAAAAACATCACATGCCATTAATCCAGTTGAATTGAAATAATAGCCTGATCGCGGCAAAACCATGATAGCGAACAGAGATACTGACAGTATCCACGTTGTACTGATAACTAAGACGCAACCCTGAGAACAAAAAGAAGGATTTAGACTTAAATAAATAAAACATGATGGCGCCTCCGTTTTCCCCGAAGAGCTTGGAACAAAATAAAATACGTATAACACAAAAATCACGTCTCGCCAGATCATTTTAAAATTCCGTGGAATAGGGTTAACCTATTAAAATTTTATTTTTTGCATTCAAATTAAACGTAAACCTTCAACGACTAACGAGCCACTTCTAAAAACCAGTAAGAATCATAACTGTAAGATTATTTTTATTTAATGTTTTTATTAATACGCTTCATGCAAAAAAATTGTAGTCTCAATGGTATGTCTCTATCAGTCAAACCTTTGGGTAATGCTGTGATAAACTAATGGTAGATTCAGAAAGCAAAGATCTTCTCAAACAATTATAAATACCTTAGACTATAAGTGTGGGAGAGCCATGCTTCGGCACGAATGGGTCGGCTCGACCGGAGTGATACCACGGCCTCACAGAAAACCAGCGTGAAATAACCACAGCGTTGTGTTTTGCCGTGTGAGTGAGATTACCGGAGGCCCAATCCTTCCCCTACCCCAATCCCTTCTAAATCCCTTAATCTCCAAATCCCTAATCCCTAAAAGTTCGGCAACGCACTCGTAACTCCTCCGTTGCGAGTGTCCATTGGCGGCGCTGATTGCTTACCATCAGGTAATACGTGTGCTCGTTTGCCGACCTATTAAATAAAAAAAAGACTTGCAAATAAATTTACCATTTATATACCTACATATAATAATAAAAATGTATCCATTAATAGCTTTTATAACTGTCACATGTTTAATTTCCGTTTCATCGTACTCATTGCCAAAATGTCCTATCCCTTCTAATAACAATATAAATTATACTTGAATATAATGCCACAGTCTAGTGACTTCTAGAAGTCAAATTATACTAACGTTATGAATAATAAGTCCCTTAACAGCCTTGACACTCGATGAGGTCAGTTTTATTAAAACGTCAGTAGCAATATACAAACTTACAAAGGTTTTGACGTGCTCATATCGTTCTAGAATATATTCTATTTATACATCAAACAGTATATGAAGTAACTTTGAACAAGTTTTAACAATAGTATTATTAGATACCCGATGCTTGCTTCAAAGGTCAATAGTTTTCCAGGTAGCTAGGACAGCTGTATGAAATAGACGTTTTGTAATATTACCCTTACTAGTGCGAAAATAGTATATCAGGAAGATAATAGTGTTGAAAGCAGATATAATATTTCATCCTCGTATTTTCACCCAATGCAAACTATAGCATAGCAATATGAACGTCGTGGTGGAACGGACATTAAGGCTCCCCTTCCTCATGCATAAGGGTGCGAGTTCGGAACCTGGCTAGCAACAAAGTGTTTTTTTCTGAGTTATATGTTATTTCTACGATTCACATACGGTGGAGGAAAACATCGTGAGAAAACCTGGACTTGTATCACCAGTAAGTACTTATAAGCTGATGCTGATGATGAAACTATAGCACACCAAAGACGTTACTGGAAAGGTGAGTGAAAAAAGCAAACAGGGAATAACTGAGATCTACTAATGTTTTTAAGGAACCAAATTTTTGTGTTGGATTTACAATGTCATTTAGAGATATATCCTGTCAAATTCCCTCCGGCTCTCAGCATATATGTTACGTATGTACGAAGTAAAAAAAGGAACTCCCTTGTGGCATTCATCGTGGGTCTACTAAAAATAGATTCGAGTCTCATAGATACTTATTGAATGTATGTCTATTGAATAAAAGAGATAACAAGTGAAAACATAAAATCACAATTGGACTTCTTCAAAAAGTAGATTATGTTTACCATTATAATAGAAGACAAGAACTTTAACTAATACTTGTATACGATTGTGGTAATATACATCACTACAAGGTCTAGATCTTAACAATGGATAGAAATGTGTCTATATTGTTTAGTCCAGGGAGGTCGCGACTCATTGGCACGCCAAGCTTTTTTTAAACACGAACTTTAAACAAATCATTAAATCAATAATTTTGTGATTATATAATATATTGTTGTTTATGTTCAAATAATTTATTCGTGACCAAGTCTAGTGCTTTCTTAGTCTATTCTTAGATTAAAAAAAAACATGAATTCGCCTTCGTATTATCTAATAGACTAGAGCTTCCTCATTACTTCCAAATTAGTTGTTTAAATACAATAAAAATAAAATAAATTGAAAACCCATTTCAAACACAGTTCCTGAGTAAATCCAAGCATGTAGGTACTCGTACATTACAGAACCATCTTACACAAGAGCACGAACGAGATAATTTAAACGTGTTCTCGTATTCAACGACCCTTTGCATCTAACAAAGTTTACTCCCGATAAAGCAACACACTAATCCTCTCAAAGAAAGATATACGAAGGTAGGAAGTTCACTTACAAACAAGTTTCCAATGGAACTCGAGAAGTAGGAAGACATTAGATATTTAGATGGTAAACTTCTTAGCGTTAGCCAATGTTATGTTTTGGAAACGAATAGATCTATGTTTCCTTGTGAAGCACCAGCTTCTAAAGATTTTGTTAAATACCTTCATAGTTAGTTATTTAGGACATTGAACGTCCGGCTTCAATTGTTCAACATATAGAGAGTTTTGATGATCATCATCAGCCCATAAATGCCCACTGCTGAGCAAAGGCCTTTTCTCACAAGGAGAAGATTTGAGCATTAATCACCACGCTTGCTCAATGCGGGTTGGCGATTTCAAACCTATAATAAGAAATTATAATTCCAGGTTTACTCACGATATTTACCTTCATCTTATGCCAGTGGTGTCTAAATAATCACAGAAAGTACATATGACTCGAAAAAGTCACATTGGTATTTGCAACTCTCATGCATGAGAAGCGGGCTCCTTAACCTCCGGGTCACCATGAAATTTTAATGATATGGAATTTAAATAACCACCATTTGTTAAAATCAATATTAAACTTTTTTTGGTAGATAGTCTCCTTTGTCGACTTATTGGATCACCGTTATTTAATTAGTGCCTTTAGGAGGTTATAGTTTTGAGAATCGGAAGAGTTAAATATTGGAGATAACACAACACAGGTTTTGTTTCATACAAGTTCTCCGCGAGGCCGTGATACCATATCACTCTGGTCGAGCCTTAAACACACAGGACAGTCATAAACATATTCGATGTAAAAATCCATTGCTCTGTAGAGCTGTAGTTAGCCAGCTGTAACTGGGGTTGCCACTATATAAAAAAGAAGCAAAGTAAAATCAACCCACTCACCTTTTTGCTCGAATGTTTGTGATAGGTGTCCGGATGCAACAAGTACAAATATCTGTCGATAGCCATGCAGACCAGAATTACCGCACTCTGTTGACTCACAGCCCCTCTCAATAGAGCCTAAAATAATAAAAAATGATTTGCTCAAAGAATGAACGCAAAAACCAATGTTGGTTCGTACAAACCAGTTAAAAGATGTGTGTTTTATAAACTTAGTCAAGAACAATTATAATATTCTTAATCTAACTATAGCCCTTCCAAATAATATACACACTATATTAATAGGCCATTATCTCACAAATACAAACGCATGACTTTAGTTCGATAATATTTAAAAAACTTTTAGCATGACATGGACAGAACATTTTTGGAGAGCTGACATCATCACTTCAAATGAAATGTCGAAGTTCCGTCTAAATGTATTTTTATACTTAACTTTTTTGTATCCTTTAAGCAACATCAAAGATAAGGAATTCTTGGTATCTATGTAAATAGCCTTGATGTTAGTATCAAAAGAGCCACTTCGTAAAAGGAATAACAAGTCAGCTAGCGTCTGGAGCCAGTTACAAAGCTGAAACTCCAACGTAACTTTGTGCTCGGTCACTATAAACCATTAGCTGATACCGCATTATGTGCTTTCATAGAAGTTTTAGCAAATTTTATTGTTCACGGATCGCCGCTTCTCCGGAACGTCAACAATTACCCTTTTATAAAGTTGATCCTCTAACTACGAACAACCTTCAAACTGTTTTCTTTGCTAAATTTTGAAAACAATTTTCAGCTAGAATATTTTTTAAATTCATCTTCCTAAATTATCCTCAAAAATCAGCTGCGTTACGCAATTTTTTTCCTTGACATCCGATTACCATTTAACTTTGCTTTGCCAATTGCGAACTTTTTTCCTTCGAGGCAACTTTACTCATTTTCTCTTCATCTCTTGTTTAAACAAAGTTTTGCGAGGACCTCGTAACTCCGCCTAGCTCTAACTAAATTAAGTAACTCTCCTGAAATTTTGATGGCAAACTAATTTTAATGTACTCATTTTATTTCTGTCTACTATGTAAGTTTCGTTGCGAGTTCAACATTTGCTAAGTACTTTAGGTGTTAAGTTAGTTTGGCACAGTTTAAGGGTAACATGAATTACGTAATGTAATCTGTAGCTCTTGTTGCCAGTCAGTCTGGATATTAACGTGTTACTTAATTCTATTTCTCCTTTGTTTCAGTTGAATTGAAATTAATTATAATTAATAATTATGTGACTAACCTGTATTTGGCAGAATATCTCTCCGTATGGCCAGCACTTGTATAAAGCTGGGAGCAGGGCGACAGGAGCTATCAAGATTCCCGTGAATAAATCGTTCAGTGCGAGCGAGGTCAGTAAGTATCTTGGCTGTAAAATATGGCACCACATAAATTATTTTCGTTGAGAACTATCATTGTGAATTAATGACCAAGAAAGATGTCTTATGATGCCAAATAAGTTAGGTAGAACCTAGTAATATTCAACCATTATTCAGCTGCCTAACAATGTTATTATCTGACAAGCAATTAGTCAGACACAACCAAGGTTTTATTATAATTGGCGGTTTGAAAATTGAGAGAAATCTTTACTGAAAATGAGGTAAATTCCAAATTTAACAATGGGCATTCATTACGAGTGGTGACTACTAAAAGACGTTAATGACATTAATAAAATTGTCTTTAACATTAAAAATACACCAAATTAAGAAAAAGGCAATTAGTAGAAAATGTTCGTACATACCTGATTATCGATATACTTGATGTACCTTCTATTATTCAAAACGCAAATGAGGACCAAATTTCCAAAAACAATGGACATAGAAAGAGCGAATATGAAAAATGCCTTTAGTATATCAGCGGGTGCTGGAAATGTAGAGGGCCAACCCTTGCCGTTTAGCCAACAGGAGCTGTTCGACAAAGATGGCGCTACGAGTAGTGCGCCTTTGGTCGAGTCAAACATAGTCGGCGCCTGAAGGCAGCGCAAGCTTCTTTTAAATAAGGCATTTAGATCATCTGATGTACACTGTATTCAGACTTTCTTGGTTTTGTTATCAAACATAATACAACACACTTAGAATTGGCATAGAGGCCATCAACATAATCATAAGGCATCAACTTTAACGATTCTTCGATTTCCTTCTAATAACCTTCTTGCCTTCATGTTTGATCTGGAACAATAGAAAATCCAATTAAGTTCCCGTTTTATAAAATGGACTAAAAATAACCAGCCGTCTTCTAATGGTTTGCTTGCTCTAAATAAAACTGAATCCCAAAATAATTGCTAGAATCGTCTCTTGAAAACAGAGTCAATTACTCTAAACATTTTTATAATGTAAGTTGGCTAATAAATATTTAGAATGGTTTACTTAAATTTCGTCTTTCGAAAAATCAGTTGTTTTTTCTTAATCAGATTGTTGGCGTCGAATACTACTAGAAGAAAACTGTGAAGCACTCCCAAGGCAAAATTTCTAGTGTCACACGTTGTTACTTTAAAACATTTTATGATACTAAGAATTCCTCGTAGTACTTTTAAGGAAGGAAAAATAAAAGATCATATATAGAGCGTGCGTGACAAGACACGTCTTTGGAATCTTTTCCTTGAGATATATTTTTCCAATCGGAACTTTTCCTCAGATTGTTGGCTAGAGCTTTGTCAATTTCCTCTAGGAAATAGAATCTTGTGTCAAGCGTAATACGATATATTATACGTACTCGTACCTATACACATCTTTATTAATTTTAAATTAATTATTGTACAAAAAACATTTGATGTTACAAAATGTTATTAAACTATAACAACGAAAATTTTAAATTCGATGAACTTCGCCTTTTCTTTTGTAATATTTAAAACATTACCTAAGTGAAAACAAAACACAGTTCATCATTAATCAAAGATTGATTAATAATACTAAAACAAGAAACAGAGCTCATAAACAACTTCGTAATCTCAATACTGTCCAAACTCTATACGAAGTTGTAGACACCCTTATATCAATAAAGGAAAAGGGGATCCAGAGGCGAAATTTTACTGGCGCCCATAAATTTGTTTTTGTTCAAGAAATATATTAGGAAGTTAATGCTAAGTAGATTGATCCATCTGACAGAGAAACGGAATGCGTCCATAAAATAGTGAGTACTTCTTTTTGTATCAACAACACTTCGGTTCGAGAGGATCTTTTGCTACACCAACCTTTTTAATACTGACAGGATCAATTTAAAAGGTCAATGGTGAGAGTGTTAAGGTTTAAGGAAAATTGGTCCTTCTGAAGGTAAAAAACAACATATTAAACGCCCATACTATTTTGAAAAGTAAAAATATAATGATAATTTTAAGCTCCGTCCTAATTTAGAATTGAGTAAACAAATCGTTACGCAAAGTCGACAAGATTCCAAACTAATTATTGTTTTTCTCTTCTCACAAAACAAACATCTTAATAGCTGGAATTGAAATCTTGACTCGACAAGTTTATTGGCCCTACTCGAGAGCCGACACTGTAAATACAGGGAGCTTCGCATCTAGTGCCAAAGGACCAAAACATAATAAAAAACCTTCATTAAGAAGACTGGAGAGGTCGCAAGGTTCATAATGTTTTCTCGTAAAAACTGCTTACGTATGAAATCTAGAATGTTAACGATTGTTTTTAAAGAACTGAAAAGAAACCTAAAATATTTAAGCGGTGACTTGTTTGTAGGTTGCCATGAAACGCTTATATGAGTCACTTAACGTTTTTCCATTATCGACGTCTAGTGTTAGGAGGTTGGAGTAGTTTAAGATTACTTTGTTTCAATATTACTTCAAGGAAACAAAAGATCAAGCTATTCGTTAATTGAGTACTTCTGTAGACTCAATGGATAATACTGAGAGATCTCGAAATAAATATTTTCTTCAGGATCACTCATTACTCGCGGTTTTCAAAGTCCAAAGTGAGGACACGATTTTATCTAAGATCAAAGAAACTGGGTCTCAGTTTTGACTGTCGTATGTCGGTCTGACGTAAATACATACTACGCTACACTCATTAGAGTATATCAGTAAAAGCTCTTTACATAACGAGATACCTTACGAGTGATGTGGTTTTAATAATTATATGTATTTAGACGTCTCATGTAGTTTGTGGTACTCTAGTGCTTCGCCTATTACTTCGACCGCGATGATATCGATCGTTTGCTGCTCGTAGGACGATAAATGGAACCGTTTATACCATGCAATCTCGTCCTTATTTCTATTAGGTTAAGGACCACTTATACAGGTGACGAATCAAGTATGTTGAGGAGATAATCTGAAATTAGCAGGAGAACTTTGTGAGTAAGTGTAACGAGTTTATCGCCATACTCGGATGTTCTCTGACTCTACATATGTTTACATTAGAAATTGTTTAAGTAGTAAGGAAGTGACATTCATGTATTTTTACGTATATTATATGCCTATTTATAAGTTAACTGTATGAATAAAGTTAGCAGTTCTAATTTTGTAATATACAAGATGGCTTCAACGTGTTGAAAAGATGCTTGGAGCACTGCGGGCGTCCACTTACTTTTAGTAGTAGCGTTTTATTACTTACGGAAGAGTTGGGGCCGTGTATTATAATACTGGTTTTATGAGCACAGAAATAATTTCTTATTTATTTCGTTACTTTTCTTTAATAAAGGCTGTAGATTTTTACATAAAATATTTTAAATTATGTTAGAAAAAAAACACAATTTAAAATATAGAACAACATAATATAGTATGACGAAAAATTTTTAATTTAGAAACAAAACGTAATCACAAGATAATGAAAATTTAGTGCAATTTAATTTTATAAGAACTTAAGTAAAATTAATTAGCAGTTTTCAATATTTTGAATACTTTCGGCAAAATATTAAAATAACTTTTTGAACACAACTGACTGAGTTCTCAATGCAAGAGACTGGGACAACCATAATTAACCTAAGGTTATAAAATCATATAAACCTCCAATACAAAAAATACTTTAAACCCTTATAATATATACATTATGACACACACTTAAGGTCTGATTTAAAATGTCTAATTAAAAAGCTGCTATGTACGAAATAAATTTGAATATAGAACGTTTTTTGTATGATCTATGTACAGCATAAATGTATAGGAAACTTCTTTGAAGGTAGCGATACAGTCACTTAGCTTCCCACGAATAAATTCTGGATAAACAATAAAAACCGCCAAAATAAGTTCCATTATAGTGTCGCGATAATATCCCCGCTTCGGCCAAACTTAATGCCACATTTGGCGACAACGTGTCTGGCCCCAACGGTGACCTTTGTTTTGGTTTTCATATTTTTATTGGGAACGAGGCTTGAATAAAAATTGTATACTTTTTTATTAGTTCTTCAAGTGTATCTTGAAGAAATTCTGTACAAGTGAAGACGTGTTGAGGTTTTCATATTAGGATATTGATATAGGTATGTCTTGTAGATTGGTGATTTCGATCGTGTAACTGTTATAATGAAGTCGATTTTTTTTATGGTATAAGTCGGCAAACGATCAGGTTATCTAATGGTAAGCAACCAGCGCCGCCCATGGACACCCGCAACACCAAAGAGTTATGAGTGCGCTGCCGGCCTTTTGGGGATAGGGGTTGCGGATATAAGGATCATGAAGGGATAGGGGATCACACGGCGAAACACAACGCTGTGATTGTTTCATGCCGGTTTTCTGTGAGGCCGTGGTATCACTCCAGTCGAGCCGGCCCATTTGTGCTGAAGCTTAGCTCTCCCACACTTAATTTATTAGAAATCTAGCAACGTGGGAAGTAGTCATTTGACCTACAAATCTCCAAGCGGTCACCAGTAGCCACCATGCAGTGACGTCATCACCTTTTCTTTTCATTGGCTGCTTAATCCGGTCTTAGTAATAGTTATCGACGTGGTTACAAGTCAAACGCTATATTTTACCTCGGCCTCAGCCTGGAGCAAGAGAAGGAATGGAATGTTTTTGAGTCAGAAAGAGTCTGACACTGTCTCTAAGTCTTTTATTTAAAACGTTAATCATCTAGCTTAATAACACAAAATAGTTTGATATACGTAGTATGTAAATCAACCTGTTTATTCCCAAACAGTATTCTCCTATGAGCAACATATGCATCGGATAGTACAGAAAAAATAAAGCACTAATACATATTTTATACATACATGTCGCAGCCAAATGATTTAACTGGCCATTAAATAATAGCGTAGTCTATTTAAGAAGTAAAATATTCCTGCTCTAGATCAGGACCCACAAACCCGACTGAAAATCAGCCCTTTACATAATACAATTCTGGTAGCTGTTAATTTCTCAATGCAGTTCGATAACAATATTATTATAGTAGCAACTCGATTTAAATAAAAATTTCTTCGCCCTTCTACGAGAAATTTAACTATTCAACCAATCAGCCGGGGTTGCGGGGTAAGCGCAATGAGGCACCGCGACCTCGGCACAGAGCAGGAGAAGGAACAGGGGGGTTTTTAGTCAGTAAGTCTGACACTCCCTCCTGCCCGGCCTTGGGCGGGAGAAGTCATTTGATGATTTTCCCCTCACGATAAAAAAAACTATTCAACCAATAGGATTATTTTCGTACAGGACATCCTCGTTAGCTAGATTTCAAAGCTTTAATCTTCTCACGTATATTATCATGTCTGCTTCTGACTCAGTAAAACATGTACAAGTATGTAATATAATATAGGTTCTCTATCCTTCAATCGTTCCAACAAAATCCAATCAAATGCATATTTCAACATGACTTAGCAGAAATGTGTCAAAATATCCCCGTTTGAAAGGGATATTTTCCTATCTAAAACTATTTTTAAAATCTGCATTCACTCATGCGTTATTTCAAGCTTAACTTCCATCATAGAATGTTCCGGCTATCAAATGGCCGGGATCCCTGCACAATCTTTTGCTGACACAGTTACTGCATGCGCCAATTCAACTCAGTCCATTTTATGATGCAGATTTTACTAATATAAAATGTCTTTTCTCGGAAATATTATTAATTATGGATACATGTTTTTCTGAGTATATACTAAAATGAGTATTTTATTTTTTACCCATGTGGATTTTGGTAATAATTGAAGCATTACCTACGAGTATATCGCAATATGAAATTGAAAAGAATATTACAGTTGAAATATTTTATGGAAAAAATTAAAATTCTGGGTACGTACATTTATTTAATGTTGTTGATTTTTAAAAACTATTTTGTTTATTTTACCATTTCGTACCATACCAATGTAATATTTACATCTCTACCAGTCTTCCTCAATGGTGAGGCAGAGAAGTATAGGTTCTGTACGAGCTTCAAGCAATTTCTATTTCAGTACAAATAATTAAATTTGAAATAAGTCAACCATAAATATTTATATATGAAATTATTGAGTAATACATACAACAAAATTTAATAAGAGAAAAAAAGGTTTACCTAGTTAAGTCTGTCAGTTTATCTTGCAGATATTGAAAGTTACATTAGGCACAATTATATTTGAAAATTACCAGTTACATACTCGTAATAGCTATTAGTACCACTATCACAGAGACGTCGAAGACGCTGGCCGAAACTAATAAAAAAAGTAAAAAAAAATTACCAGCAAATGATACACACGTAATAAATAAACAAAAAAAAACATACCAGACACACGTCATAGAACCCCAGACACAACACACAAAAGAGCGCGATCAACCACATACAGATCAACACGAAAAATAATAGTTAATCGCACTGTCACTCGAGAAGCCATCCTTACCTCAATACTCACTGTTAAATGTCGCATTAAGACGCCGCTACCGTAATTAGTATTGCTAGTGCTTCAGGGTAAATTAATTTAGAAATTAGGCTAGCCACTGACTGTGGATACCTTGTGTCACTTACTAAATGCCTTGAGCTAATATCGTCGCTTATATCGTCTCCCTATCCGCACAGTTGTTTGGAATGCGGGTATGAAGATTAATTCAATACAGTAAGCGTTTTTCGATAAGCAAATGAAATGGGTTTATTATAAAAACCCATTTCATTTGCGGAGGCCCAATCATTCCCCTCCCCCAATCCCTCCTCAATCCCTAAATGTCCAAATCCCTAATCCCTAAAAGGTCGGCAACGCACTCGTAACTCATCCATTGGGGGTGTCCATGGGCGACGCTGATTGCTTACCATCAGGTAATCCGTCTGCTCGTTTGCCGACCTATCACATAAAAAAAAAGAAATAAAGAAAAATACTTTAACTATCACCCACGGTTTCGCACTGATGCAATGCTGATACTGATTTCACTATTATACATAAAAACTTTCCTCTTCGATCTACCTACTGAAAAAGACCGCATGTACGTAACACCGCTGTGTAGTTTTAAAGATTGAAGCATACAAGGAAAGCGATTTTGTTTTAAACTAAGTACGTGTGTAGTGATTTTATGTAATAGTAGCAACTGTATCTGAACTGAGTCAATCTTTATATCGTACTTGCCTGTGACTGTGCCTATGACTGTGTAGATATGAAACAACATTATCTAGCCTGATATTTTGTTATTCATGATTACTTTTGATGTAAGTGAAACGACGAGTAAAAATTAAATTAAAAACAGAAAATGAAGTGGTGTATTAAAAGTAAACTGTATATAAGCTTTCCCCTTTTCTGTGAGAGAAAATCATCAAAAGACTTCTGTCGCCCAGAGTGACGCGAACCCGGGCTAAAACATGCTTTCCCTAAGTGTAGCTTAAATACAACGTTATTTTCTGTTTACGTACTTTTGTTTTTTCTTTTCTTTCAGTATTATCCTATCCAATACGAGTATCTAGGCAAGCCTATTATTAACAAATGCAGATCGCATAATCATTTAGATATTTATCAGGAATCCAGACCATTGTCAGGTTTCAACTGGAATCTTTATTCTTAGCTCTCAGCCGGAGATGCAGGGTAAGCGCAATGAGCCACTGTGACCTCGGCCCAGAGCAGGAAATGGACGAACGGAAGGGCTTTTAGTCAGTAAGAGTCTGACACTCCCTCCCCGACTCCGGGCGGGAGAAGTCATTTGATGATTTTCCTCTCACAACACCGCGGACCCAGCTCTTAGCCTAAGGAACGGGGTGGGTTTTAGCCAATAAGAGTCTGGCCCCCGAGTCAGGCAAGATTGTGTCATCTTAAGTGTGGGAGAGCCAAGCTTCGGCACGAATGGGTCGGCTCGACCGAAGTGATACCACGGCCTCACAGAAAACCGGCGTGAAACAACCACAGCGTTGTGTTTCGCCGTGTGAGTGAGGTTACCGGAGGCCCAATCCCGCCTCTTCCCCTATCCCTTCCCGATCCTTATATCCGAAACCCCTATCTCCAAAAGGCCGGCAACGCACTCGTAACTCCTCTGGTGTTACGGGTTTCCATGGGCGGCGCCAATTCTTTACATTCAGGTAATCCGTCTACCATAAAAAAAAATCAGATGAGAAAAGAAATTCGACGATTTCCCCCCTTAAAAAGAAGTTGTAAGCTATCAACTACAAACAATGAACTTAATTATGAAATAAACCCTAAAAATGTATTATTTATTAATCCTAAACAACAATGTTCTTCAATAAACACGTAACAAGGTACATATAGACAAATTTATCATAATAACTTTCGTGTGAGCATCGTTTAAATCTAATAAAAGCTATTGAGTTTACCGCTAGGGACCTATAAATCTTAGATTTTTTATGAGACTTGACTCTATGCTTTTGTAATCTGAAGCTATAAAACGATACGAAGCGTGGTTCTAAGATTTTTTGTTTAATTCTTAGAAATAATCCTGTGAGTTATGTTATTTAGCGGTACATAAATTATAGTAATGTATTGTTTGCTGCTCATAAAGAATAAAAAAAAATCATTATTACTACGATTTTTTATGGTATAAGTCGGCAAACGAGCAGTCGGATTACCTGATGGTAAGCAATCGGTGCCGCCCATTGGCACCCGCAACACCAAAGGAGTTACGAGTACGTTGCTGGCTTTTTGGGAATAGGGGTTGCGGATATAAGGATCGGAAAGGATAGGGGAAGGGGCCGGATTGGGCCTCCGGTAACCTCACTCACACGGTAAAACACAACGCTGTGGTTGTTTTACGCCGGTATTCTGTGAGGCCGTGGTATCACTCCGGTCGAGCCGACCCATTCGTGCCGAAGCTTGGCTCTCCCACACTTAAATTTATTACAAACTTACGATTATTTTTATACAAAATTTATTACAAATAGGTATCTAAACACAAAAATAGGAGAAATAAATAACCGGCTTGCTTAAAAACAATTACTTTGAAACTTAATATTCGACCACAAGACTATACCAAGCTACAAAAACCGAACACTTAAAGACAAAAAAAAATAAAAACATCAAAACAGTCCTTTGACTTGACAACAGAGTACCTACTTCATAAACTCAAGCATCTATTTTTTCCGGAACCACCCCGCAAAGGTGGGGCGAATTTTGTTGTAAAAATGCGTCTCACTTTAACCTTTGCCATATTTTATGAGTAACTGCCGTCAGAGATCTGATGTAAACGATTACGGACTTCAAAGATGAACGTTTTAAAAATCTTTGAGAAGTTTCTCTATTTTATTTTTGTGTTTTGATTTTGATATTTCAAGTAAATTCAAGTTCCAATTCAAAGTGTCCATATGAATTCAATCTTTAGTAATGTAATTAAAATAGGCAATTCCACACTGACTGACACCTGAGTGATTTTTGGGAAATTATAAATATTGTAGTGTGACATTAGACGAACGAGGCAGGTTTTTTCTTAAGACTTTCCTCAAGTGAAGAATGAATCTAATATTTTAGAGTGAAATTAGTGCGTGATAATATGATAGTTTAAATTTGCTGCAAGCATCTTGTCCATTTCCCACTTTTCGAGGCCATTTTAGATCTACATTGCAAATACACAAATTCACATTTTGTTTCAACAAGCAAGCTGACTTCATTTCGCTGAATTTAATCTTGCTAAGTGATTTGCTTTGCATACTTAAGCTACAATAGGTTTTCGTTACAGTCAGCTTAACACACCGACAAAAGTTATTAGACCGAAATTAAGACTTTATATCTTCACCGGCACATTGCCAAGGCTATAAAACAGAATCACTATTTGATATTGTAAAGGGCGTTGCACACTTTTTCAGTGCACCCACAAAAGGAAGGCGTAGTCACATTATTTGACAAATAATCGTTCGGACTTGGCAAGATGGCTTACCAAGACTTTCTTGCCAAACAGCTCGTTACAATATGACTTCAACGATAATAGATAAAGTTTTGCCTCGGTCACAGTTCATTCAATACAGATATTGTACGGTAAACGCGAAAAAGCTTTTACTGTTGTTGCCATTTTAGGCATTTGGTCCCTATACTTCCGTACCTTCGCATTTTGGAACGAAGCCAACGCTCACAAAATATGAACACAAAATTTCCCCAATAAAAATAATTGTTTTGTATCAAAATTGAGGCGATATCATACAACACTGCCACGTCACCGCCGCATATTGAGTTCGGTCGCGATTCTATGAGGATTGGTGCTATATCGTAGTACGCGTATGTGTCATGTGTACATCATTCCTAAACCGGTGTCTCAGCATAAAACCAAATAATATTTTCACAAAATGAGTTATTTACACAGTCGCAATCGTAAAATCCGTCTTTTATGCTTCGGCGCGCTCGTACGATTTCATACGATGATAGCTTCAAAATTTTCTCCGAATAAATCCAGTCAGCCGATTTTCTTTGAAATCGTCTTGAAGTTAACTTGTTTTATTATTTGTTACCTCAAAAGGCAGCGATGTTTGAAATAATTTATGTTTTTGAAACCATTGAGCTCATATAGATGTCTCAGAAACTAAAAGATTTAAGACTGACTATAAGTTTTATGCGACAACGGGTACAAATTACCGACATTTCTTTTCTTCGTACTTTTGTGATTGTCTTTTGTTCTCGAATCGAGATGTAATTTTATAATATCGTTCTTTGTTACAGTTTTTGTAATATAAAAAGGCTTATTGTTAGATAAATTATAAAGAATTTATTGGTCTCTGGAGGTTCATCAGTTCAATATCTACCAACAATATGCCTCGAACTTATAGATTGTCAATTCAATTATGAAACTTCATAATAATATGTTTATACGTTTATGTTTGTTTAGAATAAGTACCCTTCCAAAATTAGTACTAATTCAGTTTAAACCAACCAAATAGCAAAACCAACTAAAAATCCTAAATACTTTTAATTTAAATTCCAACGATATTTTTTCGGTTCAACTCAATGTAAAAATATAAAATAAATATTAACAACGATAAAACTTCATATTATTACGAGGTTTCTTGTATGAGTGAATTGGCTAGCACCCCGGAAGCCGTATAGAATATCGAGTTGGCTTCTCACAGACCGCCCACAGCGAGACTTACAACTAAAATCACGATTCATTTAACAATTTTCCCACTTTACTGGGCATCTACTCTCTTTATTTCGTAAAATAATATTTTCCTCTATCATTATTTTTCTGTATCTAAAAATTGCTTGGTCTCTCCAATGTTCATTGATGTTCAACGGTACATTACCGTTATAACATTATTACCGTTGGTATTGTGGAAATAATTGGTATTTCCTTAAGTTTTCATTTAGGGTGCTTTTGCTGTCAAGACAATTTTTGAAAAATTATGTTAATTTTAACAAACAAACTAATTTGTTTACTAAAGGATTTGAATATTGGGATTTCGGGGATACAATGATTACAATAATTAGTCCCCCTTATTGTAGTAAAATTTACCTGACGTGACGATCCACATTTAGTTACGTATAAAATAATTTATTGCTTCCCTTTATTGATGAAAAGTCACTACAAGGATTGTTTCTTCATACTATCTAAGGATAATCATTTAAATCTATACAAATATTATATTTTTGATTCAATGGCTGAACAACCACGACTTGAAATTAAAAAATATTCTACAAAATATTCACAATTACACAGCTACATAACGGCCATTGGCGCATCTGAAGTAAGTGATAATTATTAACTAAAGAATTTAATCAAGTTTACGCCTAATTAAATAAAACCGGTCAAGAGCGTATCAGGCTACGCTCAGTGTAGGGGTCCGTAGTTTCCCGTCTGTCACAATAAATGTTGCCACTTAAGAGTTATTGTAAATCTTAAAACCGCAATTCAACCTAAGTAGCAAAAGTACAGATTTTACAGATTTTAGATTTGACAGACAAACATAGTGAAACTATAATAGTTCCTGGTTTACAACAGGAGCCTAAAAAAACTCGAAAATCTAAATAAGGACACAACTGTTTCGTGTATACCAGTCGTGTTTGTAACCATTTGACCAATAAGACATTCTAAGTTGTTCTGTATTGACAATGTATATATTAAATACAATGTATTTAACAAGTTGTAATTGTAATATAATGTATGCACAATACAATACAATTATGCTGATGAATTCAGTAGTAGCCGCGGGAGCTATTCCCAATCACAATCAATGACTTGTTAACATCCAATGAAGAAATATGTTTAACTATATACAAACTAATTCAGTGGAGGTTCACTATAATGATCTAATTTAAATTAACATTCACACATTATCCGCTTTAACTGCCCACTACTGAGCAAAAGCCTCTTCTCACAAAGAGACGGAATGACCATTAATCACCGCGCTTGCTCAATTTAGATTGGGTATTTCAAACATGTAATTTGGAATTATACATCCAGTTTTCCTAACAATGTTTTCCTTCTCCGTATGTCAGGGATGTCTCAATAAATTAAGAAAGTGTGTACCTATGACACGGATAAGTCACATTGGTACTTGTCAAATTTTAAACCCTAATGCTTGAGAAGCGGCCGCATCAATTTCCGATCCATCTGCTTAAATTATCCATGAACGTTTTATTAACAGTCGGTTCATTTGTTGAGGTATGCCCAGCGTTCGTATAGTTAAATGAGTAATTAGAAATGACATCACGTCACAACATTTATTCCCTGTAATGATAAGCAGTGGTCGCCTAAAGCAAAGCAACCTTTTTATGACTGGAAAATTATCAATTGGCTTCTTCCGCCCAGGGTGGGATCGGAGGGCGCAACGCGCTATACGCTCGTGTCTGGTTCTGGTCGGGTGACGAGCTACCCTTACTCGCCGTCCGCAGGTCCGCGAAGCACCTCACACCTATAATGGCCAAATGGATGGATGTTCCTAGCGACTCTTTCACCTAAAAACTGATACACTGCAAATTTGACTAGAATATAAATTGTTATAGACTGTTTTTACCGTTCTACTACGAGTTAGCAAAGCTACTGAGAGAAATTATTTATAAATTATCACAAACCAGTTACAACTGTAGCTGTTACTCTAAAGAATTTTGCGAAAACTGACTATGGGAATCCAACCCAAGGTCATATTGATCATGATAACAATGCATCATCAAAAATCTTTAAAACAATATTATATTTTTTTTTATGTAATAGGTCGGCAAACGAGCAGATGGATTACCTGATGGTAAGCAATCAGCGCCGCCCATTGACACCCGCAACGGAGGAGTTACGAGTGCGTTGCCGATCTTTTAGAGATTAGGGATTTGGAGATTTAGGAACTGGGGAGGGATTGGGAAGGGTAAGGATTGGGCCTCCGGTAACCTCACTCACACGGCGAAACACAACACTGTGGTTGTTTCACGCCGGTTTTCTGTGAGGCCGTGGTATCACTCCGGTCGAGCCGACCCATTTGTGCCGAAACATGGCTCTCCCACACTTCTCATCATATTATTTAAACTTACTGCAATTAAAGCAAAACATAAGTTCAATATAATAAGTCTTCATATATCTAAAGTTCTAACTAAGTTCTATCATCTGAACCATGAGATTACAACTATTACGGTTTAACGCTCAGGAACCACTCAATCACGGAGACAAATGAGACAATAGAACAGCTGTCCCCACCTTTGTGACTTCAGATAACAGCGGTAAATTACTGCCATTGTAGCTAAGTGATACTTAAGGAATTGGGATTAGACAGTGCAGTGAGGTTTTTGATTATAAGAACAGTTTTCATGCCCAAGATTTATTCTTAAATGTTTGAGTATTTTTGACTAGGATTTTTTCATAGTGTCGTAAGAAGTCTCTTTCTGTGTGCCTTATC